TCCTATGTACTACGGGTGTGCCTCCTGAGCCTGCCGAAGGGAGGCAGGGGCTGCAGCTGCAGCTCCTGCTCAAACTCGTGAGGAACAGGCTATTTCTGGCCTGTTCCGCATYCCTGTTTDYGTGCCTGAGTCTTAGGGGCAGGTCGAAACAATGAGGGCCTGAAAATGGCCCTCCGTTTCAGGCTGAAAACTCTGGGTCTAAAAAGACCCAGAAATAGGTAGGGCCTGCAGGCCCTCGTTTTTCAGCATCCAGGCTGAAACGAACGGGGCCTGTAAGCCCTAAGTTTTAGGCTTTTCGGCTGAATGTCCGGGGCGGGCCCTGCAGGGCCCGTGTGGCTACGCAGTATGCCACAGTCTGTCACCAGCAGTCTCTGTTTGGTTGTCATAGGCCATTTCGGTCTGTTTCTTTTGCTTTGTCATAGGTCTAGGCCCCTCTTCCCCTGTTTCCATCTAGATACAGATAGGTCTTAGGTTGTTGCTTTGGGGATGCCGTCGTAGGCCTAGGCGGAGAGTTGAAGTAGTGGGCAGGAAAATTAGTGCAGGTCTTTTGCTTTTTCGTTGACAGGGGAAACTCTGCCCATCCGTTGCTTAAGCGCTGCTGCGCTATTTTGGGCGAGGTCATCTTCTTCTTCGAAGCCCATCCATAGCTGGGGTTGGGAAACGGCGTTGAAGACCGCACTGCTGCTGTTTCGCAGCTTTGCATGAGAGCTTCCACAGAACTGCGTTGTTGGGTTTGGGTGCTGCCACTTTCCACTTGGCAGCCATATCTGCAGTTCCTCCTCACGAGGAACTCCATCTTCTTCGAAGTCTTGGAACGGTTGTCTCCTTCTTCATCAGGACTTCCAGCGCTGCATGTCCGTGCGGGTGCTGAGCTGGGGCTGTTATCATCAGGGTTGCTGGTTCAGATTGGCACGGCTGCTACGGCAGCCATAGCCTGGGATATGAGGTGGCGAGGAGGAAGAAGAAGACTCCTGTATATTTCGTTGAACACTTGTTTCTGGTTGTTCGGGGTTGTTGTAAACGTGGTTGTGATTCTTGGAACAAGTACTCTGGATTGATTGGAGGAGGACGAGGGATTGCAGAATTGAAATTCGTTTTTCAATTCTCTGTGTGTTTTGAGCATCCGCTGTGCATATCTTCCCTCCGGTTTTGTGTGGATTTGCCTCGTTCGAGTCTACTCTGCAATTGCGTGCGTGTATGGGAACGTGTGAATTCGTGGTGGATTGAAGTTCAATCGGGTACATAACAACACTATACTCATGTTCCCTCCTTGCACCTTAGTTCCTCTCTAAACCCCATCCTCCTCATGTCCAACCTTGCCCCTATACACCACAACTGCCCCAAATTATCACCCCTATTTACCCAGATCCTGCCACTTCTCTACCTATCCTGACAGGACTTTCCTCTTCCCCTTTTTTAACCTCCTTGTCCTGCCTATTACCAGGAACGCACAGCTGTCTCAGGCCCGGGTTTTCCGCCCTTGCAGAGTTATGCAATGAACCCCGATCTGCAAACATCCACATATGACTTGCAGCACACTGAAACTTCACTGGCACTTCACAACAACCACCACAAACAGGATTCAGCAAGCGCGACGGTCAAAACCGGTTCCGATATCTTTATCATTATACGAATTTGAACTTGATACAAGCTGTTTATGGCCGCCATTGCCACGATTGAGAACAGGTAACTTCACTGTCCCTCTCCTTCATACGCCCAACCCAACTGTCCACCAGATAGTCGCACAAGCGCCACAGCAGAGCTTCTGCAATATGCGAATTGACGAGTGACCCATCGCTGCACTGTAGCAACTATAAATAGCAGCTGAAGTGAATCAATATCAGCTGCAGTTTGCTAGTTGTGGAATCTACCGGACTTTCCCACGATGCTGCTTCAAAAATGGACTTGGGAACTGCAGACTTTTCTTGTTGGGTACCAGGCCTATGATTCTAACGACCCGACTTTCGGACCCTATTGACCCACGACGGTTCGGCCTCAAGGCCCTACCGGGCTTCTACGGACTGGGGCCTAACAGGACCAATTGGAACTGTGCCCAGATGGGACTCTGGGACAGGGTCTCGGGACTTTGGGACCGGGACTCGGGACATGCAGACAGCGTGAAATCGTAGTATGGGCTTAGCTTATTAAATTTCTATTTACTTTATAAATTTATTTAGTTTGATTCCAGTGAAAGATTCTGTAGTTGTTTCAGCAAGATTGGGGAACAATGAGATCGGAGCACCAACAAGACTTGCAGAATCTTGTGCAGTCTTTAGCTGCAACCCCGTCACTTGCTCCCTCACCAGGGATGGAGCAACCTGAGACGCATGCCCAGATGTTCGACAGACAGAAAAAGGGACCGGATCAGAAGCTAAGAAACCTAGGGGAGAACAAAAGAGAACCGAAGGAGTATACAGACTCGGTAAAAGAGGATGACAAACGGTCAGCGACCGTAAGTCGCTGATGAATGGTTTAGAGGCCGGTCACCAACGAATCAAAAGTGGGCAAAGAATGGTCAAGTCACAGATGCTGAGAAGTCTCTTCACAGAAGTGTGGTTAGTCTGCATACGATGGCAACTGTTCGCACTGTGGCCTTAGAAACACTAGGACAGAGTGTGGATTACAACTCTGTGGATGTAATCAACCGTCTGGCAAGGAAAGTGAACATGCCGCATCACCCCATACCTCGGCCAATGATGATCCCATCCTCTACCATTGTGATAACCAGGCCTCTAGGATAATCACCTGGTCTCATTCCAGCAGTGCAGCCAGTAACGCTCCTGCCATCAGGTCCTCCATTGAGTGGCCCTCCAGATTTTAGTATTGGTCCATTTAGTTCATTTTGTCCCAGTCTAATAACCTGTCTCCTGTGAAACTGTTTCCGCCACTGCAGACCTTCTGTTCCTAGAAAACCACCAAAAGTTAAGATGAGGGATCCCTTCGTTTTTACTTAGAGAGAAAGGAAAAGAATTTGATGAGTTCGATAGCAGCAGTAGGAGCCTTCATAGAGATCAAGGATACCCCTAAGGGCCACAAAGTACTGGTCGTAGCTTCATGTTCCAACTTGTATTATCCTCTTCTTTTTCTTCTTTCCTCCATTCATCTTCTCTCCTCAACTCATTCTTTTTGTATTCGAGTTGCAATGAATGGCGTCTCACATTTGAGTTTTGCATCATGAAATGAGCGGATCATAAAATTGTTCTTACCTGTGGGCATGGGGGTGATGGTGCAGGCACAGGTGCAGTCAGGGGGAGGGAACGACGTGATGATGACAACAATGAGATGAAGATCGATGACAAGGTGATGACAACAACGAGATGATGACCAAGCGACCACCACAACGAGGACGACACTGTGGCGGCCAGGGCGTTCAAATCTGGATGCCCCTGGTTGGCCCTTTTTCGCAGGTTTATTACGCAGCCTTATCTGGGTTGTTGATCTTCGGCGATCAGCAGCTCAGGTAAGGCCAAAAAAAAAAGGGGCCTGCCAGTCTCCGTTTTGGCCCAATTTTTTTCCGGACCTCCAGGAATCCTCCAGTGGCCCATGTTACATGCTGCGCCTGCAACAGGCTGCACGGGCCATTTTGACAAGGGCCTACAGGCCCCGTGTCTGTTTCAGCCTGACAGCCTGAAAACCAGGGCCTACAGGCCCCGTGTCTGTTTCAGCCTGACAGCCTGAAAACCAGGGCCTACAGGCCCCGTGTCGTTTCAGCCTGACAGCCTGAAAACAAGGGCCTATAGACCCTCAGGCTTTAGCCAGAAGCTACCTGGAAACTTCGCGGAAGCTTCCTCAGGCTTTAGCCAGAAGCTACCTGGAAACTTCCCGGAAGCTTCCTCAGGGTCTAGCACGTTTGGGCATTGGCAAGAGCAGCCTCCTGGACGGGCCAGCACTATATAAGACTGGCCCGCCCTACAGGCAGGGGGCAGTTCATAGGGACTGGCCAGGCACTTCACGTGCAGTCCAGGCAGGCAGGAGGCAGGAGGCAGTCAGTAGTCTTCAGGATTCGGCAGCAGCACTCTGAAGGAGCGCTGCAGGAGTAGTAGTAGCGTTAGCTGTAGTCTTCAGCGCTGGGCGCCATAGCAGCTAGAGTAATACTAGAGAGAGAGAGATTGGGCGGAGGCCAGGAGGACTTACCTGCAACGCCGTTGCTTCAGCTTCGTCTTCGAGGTACCTGCAGCACAGCGCCAACTTCACAGGTTAGTACTTGGCTCGTGAGAGAGAGAGAGAGTTCTCCTTCTTCCTCTTCTCAGTCCACCATCTCCTTCTCACCCTCTGACTGTCTGACTTCACTGCATCAGCAGACTACGAGCGAGCGAGCGAGAGAGCGAGCGAGCGAGAGAGAGAGAGAGAGAGAGAGAGAGAGAGA